TCCATCCTTCTCCAACCACGCTAATAACCATCCGCAGGCGGAGTATGTGGTGTCGGAACCTCATGCCTGGGCAGCTGCAACCCCTTGATGTCGTACTCGTTCGACTCGTGCACGCCCGAGCCCATCTGCAAGAACCAGACCTACAGCTGGAGCAACCTCGACGATACAGTGGCGTATGACCAGTACCTCGGAAACTCGTCGCAGTACGAATGGACTTGGAGCGGATACCCCAAGATCGAGAACGGCAGCCTGATGCTCACGATGCCCAACCAGACCACGGGCAGTCTGATGACGCTGAACCACTACATCTGGTACGGCAAGGTGTCGGCCAAGATCAAGAGCAGTCGCGGCGGGGGTGTCATCACCGGGTTCATCCTCATGTCCGACGTGAAGGATGAGATCGACTTCGAGTTTGTGGGGTACAACCTGTCGAGTGTGCAGACCGACTTCTACTTCCAGGGCGTTGAGAACTGTACGTGTAGGCCCATGTGTCTTTTCTTTTGTCATGCTAACTTAGACTTCTTCCCGCAGACACCAACGAGGTCAACGCCGCCGTCTCCACCGGCAACACCTACAACACCTGGCACACGTACACGATCGACTGGACGCCGGAGCAGCTGGAGTGGCAGGTGGACGGGGTGACGATGCGCACGCTGACCAAAAACTCGACCTACAACGCGACGTCCGGGATCTACATGTACCCGCAGACGCCGTCGCGGCTGCAGATGTCGCTGTGGCCCAGCGGGCTGAGCAGCGAGGGCGAGGGGACGATCGAGTGGGGTGGTGGCCTGGTGGACTGGAACAGCGCCGACATGGAGAAGTACGGCTACTACTACGCGCTGTACAAGGACATCACGATCGAATGCTACAACCCGCCCGAGGGCACCACCGTCGACGGCGACGTGTCCTACGTCTACACCAGCGACACCGGCCTGTCGGACCAGATCCTTGTGTCCGGCAACAGCACCGTCCTCTACAACCTCGAGGACACGGGGCTCAACATGACCGCCGGCAAGCTGACGACCGCCACCAGCAGCAGCAACGGCTCCTCCGAGGCCAGCTCCGGCTCCGCCACCAGCACCAGCTTCAGCGAGGGAACCACCTCCAGCAGCGCCGCGAGTTCCTCCTCGTACATCCAGGGCTCTTCCCTTGCAGCCTTGGGCGCGGCAATTCTTTTCAGCTTCTTTTAGGCGAGGGTCCAGTGGACTGACACCACCGACCCTCCTTTTTCATCATCATTCAGGGGGCCTCTGCCCTCTGGCCTTCTTCTCACCCCCCTTTACGATCCTTATATACATACTTTCGATTCGAGCATGGCGTGCACGGCGATTTTTCAGATGAGCCAATAAACTTGTATTTATATTTTGAAAGACTAATGGTAATCCCATGTGATTTACTTCCGCATTTAAAAAGGGTGGATCAATCGGTCGGGTCTGGCTGCAGTTGATGTACTGAAGGTTCGCACCTAAGAATGCATTCAGTACCGTATCTATCTTCTGCTGGGCGTCTCTGATGGTTTCGGAAGGTAGATAAAGTATGGGTAGAACTGTTCTCTATTTAATCAATTGTTGGGGATAGTTAAGAGGTGCATTCTGGGCCAACCTCACTCTCCCTTTGACGCCAGAATTTCGGGTACAGCATCCCAATTTCGTCCCTCTGAAATATCACAACTCTGGGTATGAGAAATCTTGTCATAGTCATCGTGTGCTAGCCATCGGTATACCATAACTCTTGTCCACTGTACTCTTCACCGCGATCTTACTATCTAGAATATCACTATATATATATATCTGTATATATGTATATATGCATACCCCATCAGGATGTGCTCGGCTGTGGCCCCGAGGCAGGTAATAGAGTCGATCACCTCCTTAGCATCCGCATCATCATCACGTTGCCAATCTACCAGCTGACACACTGTTTTGAAGAAGCAAAACGAGAAAAAACCGCTCTTGTTTGTCATAGATCTCCGGCTGGAAGAAGGTTTTTGGGACTGATCCTCACTGACTTTATCGGCAAAGAGATGCTTTAAGCTAGTGCACTTAAAGATATATCGACTTCAGGACCCCTCGACATGTTACTCTGGGTTTATGTTTAGTTGCCAGCTACTCAATACCTTCTACTCTCGATCCTTTCCCTGCTTTTACCATCGTTAGAGAGTAGTCAGGTAGATATTGAGTTCCTATTCTTATAGACCCAAGACTCACAAAGAAGTTGGAGGCATTATAGATTGTGGTCTTATGATCCGCGGTAAAGTAGAGAACACAAGTCAGTAACTACTATCTCTGAACCCAAGCATACTCTCATTACAAACGAGCTTTCATATTTAACACATCGACCTCATCAACTCGTATCATTCAATCATCAATTACCTCCACCTAGCCACCATCTTTTCCCCCACCAATCCTAGAATCCTTCCCCCAAAACCAGGGAATACCATCACACCATCAACATTCGCATCACACATCCATTGAGTTGGCATTAATCATATCGCAAACTTCAAGCCTGCGCCCCCTGCCGTCCCGCCGTGGAAGCCGACCACGTCTTCTGCACAGGGTTCATCATATTCATCGCGACCGCATGCTCCCGCTGCGCCTTCTTCTGCCAGTACCGGCCCAGCACGAAGGCAGCGACACCAACCAGCGCGGCGCCAACCACCGTGCCAACTACGATCCCTGCAATGGCGCCCTTGGAGAGGCCGCTGGATCCACTCTTGCTGCTGCTCGACGACGAGGATCCAGAGGATGTGCTCGATGAAGAGGAAGATGAGGACGAGGACGAGGACGAGGAGTCAGTCGAGGTCGCCTCCGACACGTTGAAGCAGGGGATCGAGGTGTCGAAGGAGGAAAGCGGCACGTAGGTGATATCCGCGCAGGCGTAGTAGGTCTCGTTGCCGTCGTTGTCGAAGTCGGAGACGTACTTCAGCTGCAGGGTGGCGTTGGAGCCGGAGGTAACGGTGGAGGGCGGGTTGGGCACGGAGTAACATTCGTGGCCTGGGTCGAGGTCGGGGAAGTTGCTGCTCGAGACGATCGTGCTGAAGTCGGAGTTGCTGGTTGGGTCTTTGTAGCGGATTTGTTAGTTCTTGGTGCTTTGGGAGGGCGGGTGAGGGGTGAGAGAGGAGGGAAAGGGGAGCGTACTGTTGTCATAGGAGATGGCGAGGTTGACGGAGTAGGATTCTGTTTGGAGGACTAGTGAGACGGCGCCGTTGGCTGGAGTAAATGAATTAGCTTGGGGGTTCGTGACCGCTGGTGGTAGGCTGAGGGTGCATACTGAGGGGGAACTCGGTTCGGTTGGTGACACCGGCTGAGGAACCGCAGGGAGCAGTGCGGTCCTGGGCCGCGCCCCAGGCACGGTCTGGCGGCCACAAGAACGCAGCGGCCCCCATGTCCGTGGCTTCTGCGGCGAGAGTGCCAGGGATGACGAGGCTGGCTGTGGCCAGCAGTCCGGTGATTAGGGTGATTGGAGACATTGTTAAGAGTGTATGTCAAGGTTGAGGCGTAACTGCTCAAACTCTAGTCTCAATTCTAGGATAGAAGGACTGCTGTGCTGGTGACCATATCCAGAGGGCTTGCAGGGCCGTCTTATAGGATCGGCATCCATAGTATTCCTTTCTCGAAACCGTTACACCCGTCAACGGGCCTGGTGGAATGGTGGCAGCCTTCGCTGGAAGAACTCTTCGCAAACATGTGATAAGGATCCGCAGTGGGTTGCAAGGCGACATGAGCAATTCGGAAGACTGGTGAGTGAGCTGCCGACCACCGAGCCCTGGCTTGACCTGTCTCACAGAGCATAGATGACAACACTGAACCCCTCCTGCAGTGTCACCTCGCCAGGAGCTAGTCAGTGACGAGGTACCAGGAGACACCAACCGGCAGAGGAAAACCCGACATCAGATCATATCAGATTGATTAGATCCTGGTCACTCCGTTGCCTTCCGACCCCAAACATCCTTATCCCAATCCAAGAATTATGTCCGAGGACAAAGTGAGAGATGGGTCACGCGGAGGTTTGTTCCAATCACTGCGTCGGACGAGGTAACCGAAATTTGCTAGCGTGCTCTAATTTTCAATCTGATAAGATAATAAGTGGGCCCGACCCAACCACGGCACTTCATCTGCTGGCAAGAATTTCCTGTCTTGCCAAGTCACTAACGCACTAACTAAAAAGACCCTAGGCAGGGCCGGTTGCTCTGAGCCAAGCAGAAAGAAGAAACCCTGACCAATTGTTAACAGTTGGTGCCGCTCCATGCAACCCACTCGACGACTCGGTCACTACATCACACCAGGGTTTGTCCCTGCGACCGCGAGCTTCTGTCAGGAGCCATACCACTTCTGTATACACTAACAGACCCTGACCACGGACCCTCGCTCACCTGCACGAAGGATTTGTCCTAGCCACCAAGTCCGGGTAAATGTTTTCAAGCCCGAAACCAGCGCCATAGTGAGTTGCCATCGGTTCTAGCCTTCGAAGCCAAAATGCCTCCGACCACCGACGCCGGACTTTTCCAGCATATACAAGGTATGATGTAACAGACCACACCACTATAAACATAGCAAAGGAACTCAGGTCGAGAAAAAAAAAACTTGCAGCGCGGAATTGACCTTTAGCGCCGTTGCTTGCGTGATTAATTTATTGAATGCGGTGGAAGAGCCAATCCATGTAGTGACCAGTCCACCGAGCCCTTCGCTGCATCACACATGGCATCGAGCTAGCCGTCCCGCTAAGGCTATGTTGGACGGTACTTGCGAGGGGGCCCAGCGGGCTTGGTCACTGGAAGTATCCGGATGCAGGTGGTCCGACCAGTCTTTACCACCTCGCCCGAGCTGCAGAGTTCGTGATGCAGCAAGCTTGCTGGAGTTGAATATAAGGGGACTCCACCCAACACTTCCTTATCTTTGAAGAACCGCGCGCACCAGCCTTTCCCCATCTCGTGTCTGCCATCATCGCACGCATTTCTTCTCAATCAACCACCCACCAGTGGAGACAATTGAATCCTCACAATGCAACGCTTCATCTTGCTCGTGACTGCTCTCGCAGCTGTATTCCCCTCGAGCCTGGCATGGGGCTTCCCTTCAAGCTTTCCTCTGATTAGAAGGGAGGACATCTCGCCCGGCAGTCCACTCTACGAATGCCACGCCGATTGCGGTACGTCCTTGAGCTGCCTTCAACCCTTCACACAACCACTACCCTTGCCATGCACTCTAACGCAATGCACAGGCGGAGTCATCCTCATGTCCCAGGACGACACCAACGCCACGTACTGCTCCAACGCGACCTACAAGACCGAGCTCAGCGGCTGCCTGGAGTGCGCCCTGACCTACAACATCTGGCAGTACTACGGCGACGACGTCAAGTCCGCGGCCGAAGCGTGCGGCGATAGCGCCACGCCCAGTGCCTCGTCGGCGACGACGAGCGCCACGGCGGTTGCAAACTCGGTATGTATCCCATCCTGACCCAATTGACCGAGCTAATGTGGGTGTGTAGACGGCTACCAACTCTGGGGCGAGAGCCACCGGCTCTTCTTCCTCGCACGCGTCCTCGTCCTCGTCCAGTAGCTCCGCGGCTGCTGCGTCGGCCACTTCGATGTCTGGTGGAGCGGGCGCGTCGATGAGCGTAGGCGGAATGCTTGTCGCTGCTGCTGCTGTGGTTGGGGGGATTGTTATGGCTTGACGTGCCTCTTCTGGTCCAGAGGATGGCGATATGTCGTGCTGTGATATTGGGTGGATAGTTTATTGTCATGGTCGCGCCTGTCACTCACCTCGGGGTATGCTGAGTGATTGCTGTGGTTGGGATAGATAGATGCAGTGTACTGTAGTGCAAGCTTTAATTGAGCTGCGTCCAACGAATATACGTTGTTCTTACTCCAAGACTGTCACTTAAGTAACTCAAATTCAAACACAGTGCTCGAGTAGATTGAAGTAGTTTTTGATGTGGGGACTTGGAACTTGGACCGGTTGTTGGCTGGACGGGTCATGCTTGGCTCCCCACTGCTTCGAGGGAGGTGCTGCGAGCAGGCTCTGAAGATTACATCTTTGCAGAGACTTTCCTTCTGATTGCATTGTTGTAGATATGCTTGATCAAGTGGAACTGACAAGCTATGCACTCTAAAGTGAGAGAGAGTGACAAAGCCGGCGTCTCAATGTCCCATAACCTTTACCGCCCCTCATTCCCCACTGCTAGACCCTTGAACACAAAAAATATATATGATCTATCTCCAACCCCGCTAAGCAAGTCTATGAATATGTATGTGAAGAACTATATACAACGAAATTACGAAATCTAAATCCCTCAACACTCCGACAAGTCGACCGACAACCTCAGCCTCACCCCCACCGCGAATAAGGCGGCGGAGGCTCGCTCGGCACGACCGCCGGCGCGACCGCCGCCGTCTGGCTCTGTGTTCCCTCACTGTCGGCGCCTCGATCCATCGACCCGCGACTTTCCCCCTCCCGCCCTTCCCCACTGCTCACCGGCCTCAACTCCAGCGTACTGTTATCCTCGCCCGTACTGGTCCCGGCCCCGGCTCTGACCGCCTGCTTCCCCTTCCTCTTCTTTTTAGTCAGAGCGTGTCTACGACGATAGATCGCGATGCCGGCGACGGCCAGCAGCAGCGACGCGCCGACGCCGACGCCGACGCCGATGCCGATGTTGCGGGCCAAGGTGGATTTCTTGGCGGGCGCGGCGTCGCAGTGCTCGTGGATGACGCTCGTGTTGGACGGGAGGACCTTGTCGCAGTTGAGGTGCTTGGAGGAGGAGAGGGAGAAGGTGTTGACCATTTTGAGGGAGGAAAAGTCCGTGCTATTGGGCATTAGTCATGTCTGGGGGGGGACGGAAAGGGAGGAGGACGGACCTGGTGATCACGCCGGTGACGGTGATGTCGTCGGCGTACTCGAGGCTGGACAGGTTCACGGCTAGTGGGGTCCAGGCCTCGATTAGGATGTCCGCTGTTGCGTTCACCAATGATGGAGCGGAGATGCTGTGGGGTGGTGTTAGCGAGTGGGATGACGACTGTAGAAAGGGCTACGTACCTATCAATGACTCCCCGCAGCGAGAGGCTACCGTTCATGTAGCTGAGCTCGGGCACGGAGAAGTTGAGGTGCTGCGTCGTGTGCACGGTGAAGCCTGCGTCATAGTCGCCGTAGCCACTGGTGGTCGCTTGGGTGATGTTGCCGGCAGATGCCAGGACCGGTAATGAGAGACTGCATGATGTGAGCTGGGAGCCGGTCGGTGGTTGCTGGAAGTGGAAACATACCTGGAAACGTTCCCGCCGACATACAGGCTCGCCGCCTGCCGCAGCGCGGGCAGGTCGATCTTCATTACCTGACTTGACTGCGTATCACATCCCGACTCGCCGCAGATCGAGGATCCAGTGGTGATGTTCTCCAACTTGGAGAAATCGAAGCTAGACACCGCTAAACGTTACAAGCTGGTTCAGGTAAAACAAGTCATGTGACGGGAAACGCACCTAATGCCACTCCCCAGCATATTTAAGTAGCTCACATTCCGCAGGTTCGGGGCCGACACGGTCAGCGGGGTGCGGCTCTTGACGGTGAAGACCTCGGCCGTCTGCAGCTGCGGCAGCGAGATCGACCGCAGAGAGGAGGCGTAGCTGAAGCCCGCCACATAGAGGGAGATGAGATCCGGGGCCTCGAGCGAGGTCAGCCCGGTGGAGTTCTGGACGGAGATGCTCGAGGTGATGTTGGTCAGGTTGTGCACGATGAAGCTACCCGTATAGTTGGAGGCCACGATCAGATCCCCGTAGAGGGTGGTGCAGTTCTGCGTCAACTGGTTCAGCTGGTCTTGCGTGTATATCACAGTCCCCTGCCCGTATTCATCCTGCTGGGCGTTGCAGTCCTGCGCGGCGATGACTAAAATCCCGAGGAACCAAATGTCAATCATGTGACCTTTGACCGACCCAAAACTGAAACATGGCAACAAGGAACAAAGACGAAAATCAAAAAAAAAAAAGAAAAAAAAAAAAAAAAAACACGTGGATCATTCGAGCTTGCTTACGGTTCGCCAAACCTACGGCCACCACCACCACGAGGGTGGACAGCAGATTCATTTCTTCAATCGGTGCGTTAATTTCATTCAAGATGGGATGAATGGATGGATGATGTTGTTCATTGCTTAAAGGGAAGGGACGGGGGGGGGAAACAGGTCGCGATCCCGGATTTTGCGATTTTTTTGACGCGCGGCTCGGGGGCAGACCCTTTATGTCTGCCTAGGCCCTGAGGGACTCGGGGGGGGGGGGGGAAGAGAAAAGAGGAGAAGGGGGACCAGAAGGGCGTTTCGATTTTCGAGCCACTTTGATTGCGAAGCGGGGCGGCAGGCGACAAGAACATCCTGACTTGGGTTTAGTCGGTGCTGAATCACTGTGGCGCAGCGCATTTGACTGGTCCAGGGGGAGATCCGAGTGGGGAGGAGGTGGGAACACCTGCCTATCGGTCGGCTAACGATGGGCCAAAATCCAATAGTTGGTTCCAGTTTGGAAGACGTTAATCCCTTTCAAACCAGTGAGCAGTCCCTATTTCCTCGTGGGTTTCCCTGGCTGGTCTGGCAGGGCTGAGAAACTTTATTGGAAAGGGGTTCAATGAAATCCCTGGGTTTGTTGGCGAGTTTAACGGGACACTCTTCGGACAAAGAGGTGGTGTGGTGGTTCTGCCTGAGACGGGCGGCTGTGGCTGAGGATGAGGCTTCGGTCTCCGGAACGAGTCGGAGTTAAATACCTTATCCAGTATTGCTGGATGAAATCATCAGCGTCGACCGTCGTCACCGAATTTCGAGCAACAGGGCTGCTGCGACACATATTTATCTGATCCCCGCGATCACCCCGACCCTTCCAAGCTAACGAATTTGTGGCCCACCCACTCCGAGCTCAGACAAGGATACCTCTGTATACCTCCTCCGTACGTAGCTAATCTCCCACCGACCACAAAATGCAAGCCGCAGTCAACTGGCCTCAGAAGTACCACCCGGGTACAACCGACAACTTCGTCTCCAACGAGGTCTACGTGCCCGGAACCACCGTCGAGCGCGTCTGGGACTACCTGGCCACTATCACCAGATGGGAGTCCTACTACGATAACGTGGGCCAGATCACCCCGCCAAGCTCCGGCCCTGTGCTACGCGAAGGGGACAAGTTTTCGTTCTCCACCTTCGGATTCCCCCCGCTCCAAGCAGAGGTGCACGAGTCGGCGCCGCCGACGGACAACGCGCCGGGGAGACTCGCGTGGCGCGCCTGGCAGGAGGGCGACGAGGACACCGCGCTAGATATCTACCATGCGTGGATCGTGGAGAAGACCGAATGGGGGGTGGCTCGCATCCTAACGCAGGAATCGCAGATCGGGAAGCCGGCCGCGCAGCTGGCGACCCAGAAGCCGAACCCGATGTTGAACGGGCACCAGGCGTGGCTGGATGGGTTGGCGGAGATTTCGCGGTCCGGTTGATGTGGGATCGTCCAGGATGGTTTTGTGCTGTTGATCATGTGGGCCATCTGGCATCTACGCGGTGCTCAGAGCATGCCTTCATATATGTTCCAATTCTAAATATGTGTAATACGATTATTGTGTTGTGCTTCTTGCTGTGCCGGTGTTTCAGCATGTATTCATTTATGTCTAAAAAATCGTCCCTACTGGGTGTGAACCTCTCAAGCCCCATATCTCCACCAGCGGTGCTCTGCAGAATCTCTCCAGGACATTTGGCACTACCACTTCTCCCACCTGCGACCCCAGTCATCGTCCTTTTCAAGCCCGGTCCTCCCGCACCATATTGCGATACGGGTTATTCGGATCCTGCTCCTCCTCCTCAGCGGAGGGGATCGTCTTGCGCACGCGACACGGGTTTCCAACCGCCACGGAGAACGGGGGGATATCCTTGGTGACGATGGAGCCGGCGCCAATGGTTGAGCCCTCTCCGATGGTGACGCCCGGGAGGATGACCACGTTCCCACCGATCCAGCAGTCGTTGCCGATCGTGACGGGGTGGCCGAACTCGACGAACTTGCGGCGCGACAGCACGCTGACGTCATGGCCGGCCGTGTAGATGTTGACGTTCGGGCCGAATTGGACGCGGTCGCCGATGATGATGAGACTAGTGTCGAGGGCGGTGAAGCTTTGTCACGGGAGACTGTTAGCGACAAGAGATGATTGTAAGGGCGACGACAGCTTCGACTAACTTGAAGTTCATGAAGCAGTCGCGGCCGATGCTGATGTTGCAGCCGTAGTCGGGCATGAAGGGCGGCTCAATGAAGGTGCCCTCGCCGACCCGACCGACGATCTTCTGGAGGAGCTCGAAGCGCCGCTCGGCGATCTGCTCGAAGGGGACGGACTTGGCGTCCAGGTTGTTGTAGTCCTGGGCCACGCCGCGGGCGCGATGTCGGCCTTCCTGAAGCTTCGGCACGTTGGGATTGTAGCTGAGCCGTCAGCGTCTTTTACCAATGCTTCATCTGCAGCCCGTAATGCACAAGACACGCGGCGGAATCTCAATGTGTGTGTACGTACAGCATGCCGGAGATCATCCGCTCGTACTCCTCGCACATGGGCACATGGTTCAATCCCCGGGCGATCTCGATGATCTCGGGTCGTTTTTCGGATGCAGCGACGGACATGGTAACAGGGATGTGATGAACAATGGATTGTCTGAAGACGAAAGGAAACCCGCTGGTGCTTTACCTCGTGGCAGCGCGCCTATTTATGGAGGTTGGTCGACCGCGGGGTAGCGACTCCGCAAAGCGGGCATCGCGCCTCTGGATTCCCGTTCGGGAAATACTCCCAACTGCTGGCGTTGCGGAGCGCTTGGCGCCGACGTTTCGCCGACTTGCGGCCCAGCATGTCTGCCTTGATGCCTTAGGAACAAGGCTACGAAACTTAATACCCCTCCGCTTAGCGCCTAACTTAATGCTTTGTGTGCATAGCTCTCACTGCTACAGTCAGCCATGATGCATCGCAACCATACCTTTCGCGAGTAGTACTAATACTGGGCCCAATTGAAAGCTACACCCTTCTAGTAGCAGCAGAAAAGATGTTGTAAGATATCTCGAACAATAGTAGGCGCGAATGGGATGCCCACTCTCTATTGGCGAAGCCACTCGCTAAGGCATGTAATCAACAATAGAAGTCATCATTTCATCGGCGTACTTCAAGATACGTAAACAGTTATCACCTACCAGAAATAGGTCAACCACAGCGAACAGACATCTTGTAACTTTTACTCCTTCCACACCAAAACACCTCTCTCATACAACCCGCTTATCAGCCCCAACCCCCTCTTCACATCCCGCACAGCGGTCGAACTCGTGCCGAACTCGTCCCCGACAAACAAATCCTCCACCCTCCCCTCCACATTCCCATCCCACTCGGCGACCCAACTCGGCGCCCGCCCTCTCTTCGCAACAGGCATACCCCTCCCATTCCCCTCGAAATCCACCACCCAGTTCGACTGAGCCACCTTCGCCACCGCCGGGAAGAACGGATGGCCCGCCATGATCAGCTTCCCCTTTCCGTCTGTGCTCAGATTATCCACCAGAAACCTGGTCCGGAAGGACAGCGCCTTCTCCAGATCCTTTGTGGCAGGATTGATCCGGTACACTGTCACGGAGGGTGTCGTGGTCGACGCGACGGCCACGTGGGTTTGGTTGAGGGCGGCGATGCCGTTCGCGTAGGGCAGGTGCGCGACGACCTTGTACGTGTCCGTCTGGAGGTTGGCGTAGACGACCGTGCCGCCGGGGTAGGCTGAGTAGGTCTCTAGGCGGGCGAGAAACGGGGAGGCGCGCTGGGTGAAGAGGTGGTCATTGGTGATGTAGAGCTCGTGCTCGGAGATGGCGAGGAGGGCGTTGGGCCCGTGCAGGAGCGGGTGGGTTATGGTCTTTTCGTGGTGAAGGGACGGGGCTTCAGGGTTGGGGTCGAGGGTAAAGAGCTCGATGGCCGAGCCGGTCGGGGCGTGGTTCGCGACGAAGAGTTGTAAGGTCTTCGGGTTGTAGGCTAGGCCCAGGGGGTGGAAGGTCTGGCGGGAGGTGGTGGGGAAGTTGGTCAATGGGAGCGGGTGGAGGTTCTTTTCGTCGGAGGTCGCGTCGAAGGTGGAGGCGTAGTTGTAGAGATACAAGGTTCCCGGGTTGGTGGCGTTGATGAAGGTTCCCTGCGTTGTGGAGGAAGTCAGTCGGTGGGATAAGAATGCGGGGGTGGGCGGGGACCGACCATGACGGTGTTCCAGGTGTCACGGCCTGGGTCGCAGCTCAAGATGGCGAAGCCGCGCTGGGTGTCGAGGTGGACATCTTCGCAGTTACGGATCCGGTCGGCGAACACGATCTTCTGGTCGGCGAAATTGGAGATCTGGGGAAGTCGGCCGGGACGGTTGTTCACCGTCAGCCAGATGAGGGTGTGGCGGTCGGTCAACCAGCCCAGCAGCACAGCTAGGCCGAGGACGATCTAGGTGATCGGGTCAGTGAGAACCACCCCTCTGAGTGAAGGGATGGGAGAAGTACTGTTGTTATATATGTTGACAGTCCCATGATGTCGGTAAGTAGCTGACAGGTGACAAAAACATGAAGGGACCTCGTAAGGGTAGGTGGGAATTGACTGCAGATAAATAAAGTTGTTTTGTTGGGAAGCTTACGGGTTGAAGGCTGATCGCGTCCCCACTGGGCGGACTAGCCCTCCGTATTTCGCCCACCCCCAGCCTATCGGACTATCCTGTCGGGCTATAGAGCTTCCGTTTGGCTGGAAGATGACATGGTCTGAGGTGAGATTGGTTTCTTTCTTTGCTAATGGATTACTAATCCACGGGTACACAGTGGGAATTGCTAGTCAGTATCGTTATTCTGAGTCTGTTTATTTTGTTCGTGTGGATTAGTGATCGACTTGCCTGGGTGGGTCCCTTCTGCTGGCAGGTATCGATTACGGAAGCCCACTGCAGCCATTCGCACCTGGAAATATACTGGTAGAATAAACGAGAAAATAGTATGAGTGAGAAAGATTAATTGTAGAACCCTGGTTGTACCAGTACATAATACTACTAACTCAGTAGTTCAGTAGTCTATAGCCCCTCTAAGAGTAGAGTCCTGATTAAGTAATCCTAGACCTGTTGGCTTTAGTCCGATTGATAGTTTTGTTTACTGGGGGGTTCCATAACATCTGTTTAGAGGAAGCGGCAGGGCTTTATAATGTTGAGAGTGTTTAGATAAACAGGGGCAAACATCTGCTTACATTCTGGAGTAGCGTGGACATGACCTGGTGTTGATGCCTCAAGCATCGAGATATGAGAGGTCACGTGATGCAGATAGGTGGATCCTGTGGCTTTGCAAATTGAGTGTATAAGCCTGTGGGGTACAAGGTATCCTGGATTGTTCACATAAAGATTACAAATTGAGGTGTAGATATACCCAGCAGGCTGCTTGCAATGTTGTGAGCAAGCGTGCATTGCACAAGATATGAATGCCTCAGGCAATTAACTTTGCCGCATCAGGAAAGAAGAGCGATCCGACTGTAAAAATTCGCATCAGGTGGATCAGCCAGTGGAGCCCTTCTCAAAGTGGACCGAGTCTCAGGTAACTAGTTTAGTCCTTCAACATCATAAAAGTTAGGGTCACAACCTTGTCCCTTAGACTGATTGAAGAGTCTCCCTTCTTTTTCATCTCACATCTCTCTCTGCACGTTTTTTCCTGCTACACACTGATGCCATTGGAACATCAAGGGTCATGCGGGTTTCTCCGCTGCCCAGCCGAGATCCTGGACTTAGTGTTTGAACTGCTTTCAACAGCTGAACTCAGGGCACTAAGCCTCGTCAATAAGGACTTATGTGCACTTGTTGAGCCATACGTCTATTCCAAAATCGACTGGACCTGGCGAGAAAATCACGCTCCTCCCCAATCACACCACTGTTACGAACCATTATCAGCAAACCTCAGTTAGCTGCTCGCATCACCAATTTTCAATTTCAGAGTCTTCCAGCCTACCGCAAGGAGTGGGTTATGTTTGCAGCTCAAGGAATTCCTGTTCCCGTTGCTGAACTAGCCGAATTCATTGCATTCGTCCAAAGGACAGGGGTTCCATACTGTGACGTTTGGACACAGGGATTAAGCAAGGGTGCCCCAGATGCTATTCTTGCTCTACTATTAGCACAGCTTTCAAATCTGAGGTGTCTGTCCCTCGACTATATCGTCTGCCAACAGAGTAGAATAATCCAGATGCTTCTCCGATCGGCCATCTGCGAGCCTGCGATGTATAGGTTGCCAGACTTCAAGCATCTCCTTGATGTGTCTTTCCATTCCCACAACGATTACGGCGCTCCATCCACGGTGCTAAGGTCTCGAAGTCAAAGTCCATTGGGTCAAGCACTCGTCCTACCGTTCTTTTACCTGCCGAACATCCAACACATCTCAGCTGCAGTTGAGAACACAGATACTTTCGCATGGTCTGCAGCCTGTTTGCCTGACCCATGCCAACTTACCTCGATCTACCTGGCCGACATACGGGAAGCAAACCTCGGCTCTCTGCTGTCCGTCACCCGCAACCTTCAATCCGCTTCGTTGGACCTGGTATTACGATGCTGGTGTCCACGACGCTATTGTGATCCCCATCGTCAATCTTAATGGGATTGCGGCCGCATTATCCCATGTTCAAGATACTCTCACTGATTTAACTATCTTTGCCCAGGCTTCCCTAGGAGGTGGTGATCAATTCTACCCAGCCGTGAAGATGGAGGGCTCTTTGCGTACGATGTTCGAGTTTGAGAAGCTTAAGAGACTTCAAATTCCGCTGGCATTCCTGGTAGGGTTTGCGCAAGACACCACGAAGCGGTTACAGGATGTCCTCCCGCGGAATCTCGAATACCTTTCCCTCACAGACGAATTAGCTTTTCAGAATAACGATGGTTTTTCGAAACCTGGCCGATGTATGAATGGCAGGATTTCGCTGTTTTGATCTTATTGCGGACGTGGCTGGAGGATTGGAGAACCTACACACCCCATCTTCGAGGCGTTTCGCTGATCTATGAAGAACTGGATACAAATTTAGGGGAGTGGCCTCCCGACTTAAGGCATCAGCTCACGGAGCTAGGCACTCAAGCTGGAGTACAGCTCGAGTTGGTTGAGTGGAAACGGGATTGGTAAATTGATAGACATGCTCAGTCATTCACAAGCGACATTCCTACTTTCGACTATTGAAATGATTTGAATTTTTCTCACAAGCAAGCCCTTGAATAGCTCGCTGTCCCTGTCGCTGCTTGTATCAGTTGCTGTTGCTTCTATCAGGAGAGTAGCAGAGTTGAACTTGGCTCCCCTCTCTAATATTCCCAGCGATCTCGCTTAGGTTGAATGTTTTGTAGGCTTTATTTTTATCCAGAACTTTGAACCCATACTCCTGAACGAACAAGTCGCAGCCGAATTTTTCCTTTCAGCAATATCATTAGTAGATTCGTGAGAAGACTGGTGAAGAGGTTGAAAGAGGACCCGTCTAGTCTTTCACTTACCCCTTTGGAATCCGTACAAGGATCCTCTGGGTCGCCATCGAAAATGGTAGCAATCCTTGCCTTTTGACTGCTCAATGGCGTGGCCGGATGCACTGGCCACCGGGGTATCTTGATAGTGGTAGGAGAAGGACGAGCCCTTCTGCAACGATGCGAGGATTACTTCGTGATCAAAGGCCAGAATTGTCATGGCCGTGGGCCTCTGCTTATCCGGCACCTTGTACGCTTCCTGATTCGCGAGCATCTCGTTATATGCTGTGAGGGCCATCTGCCAGAGCTGGCCGTCCTCAATTCCATCAGTCTCGTCGTTGACTGGGCTCTTAAAGCGGAGATGGCTGCTAAACAGCCGATTCCGCCGCACAGTGGGGTCCTTAGGATCCAGACCCGGCCAGGTCCTTGCAAAGTTCAGGTCCATCTTGACTCCCAGGGCCGTAGGGCCTTCAGTTTGATAAGGCTTCTCGCTGCTGAGGTCGGCGGCCGCGTTCACGAGAGCAATGAATGCGCACAGTATTACCAGGGCCAGGCAGGAAAGAGGAGGGACAATCATGTTCTTGAGTCTCTCGCTTGAGGCTTCTGGCAAAATCAGTATTAGTCAACATATGAATAGCGCATAGTGCAGTTCACCTGGGGCGGAACGGAATAGGGATGCACCTACCAACAGAGCTATAACAGCAGAGTGAGATTCCTGAAGGTGGAATGCACTTGGTCACCCTGGGTTTCCAGCAATCAGTCTGAATTTAAAACATCTGCAGATTTCTCGCTACACCTGCCTGTTCCATCAGGTCTCGATCAGGATGCGCCCCCTTCATCTCATTTTACAATATGGGGTAAGCGCTACTACATGCGTGAATCCGGTGAAGATTGGGTTTTGCAGAGATTTTGGATTGGTAACATACAATAGCTTTCTAGTGCCGAATGAGTGGATGACTCGGAGTTGACAGATCTGGCCGTTTGTGTTAAGACCCATATCCTAGCCCAAATTTGATCACAGGGTCGAACCTAGAACTAGGAGGTGGAGACACCTATTCAAGTAGTGCGAATTGTCTACCATTGCTGTACAGGACGAGAAAGACCTTGAGGCATGTGACAGAGTGATGGTGATAGAATGTAATCAGGTTTTCTATCTTCGAAGCCTTCTTGCACCTTCTGCGCCATTTGCAGCGCGGGAACCTCAATTGTTCAAGTCCACAACATCTGGTACGAATTTCCAGTCATATTCGACTATATATTTGGCTATTCTAAGTCAGACCTTGCAGCTCATTGGGCTAGAGATCTATCATTATCTTTCAGAAAATTAATTAGACGGAGGCAGATTTTGCATCAAGCGAAAGGACCCAGAGTTTCGACCGAATATCCACTGTTCGCCCTTGTTTGTGGCCATTCTGCGCACGCACAGAGTGCACACGAGTATACACCATTATTCTCGGGTCAAGGATGACAGTCTGCATTGACTTTTCCTTCGCAAGGAAAAGTGGATCACCAAGATGACTATCTCTGAGCCCAGTAACATGGCTCTGAGAGAGGCCCAACATACGTAGCAGCGACCAATCAGCTTAGAAGCCGGTATACGGTAGTTCCTCGGAGATTCTCCTCCTAGGTAATACCCAAGGTCTAGGAGAACCTCTCCTGTCGAAACTCGGAACACTAAAGTGAGACCGAGATGGCTCATCTCCGAGGCTTTCGAAATGTCTTAGGTGTATGGGGTAGAAGAGCTATCAGTGGCTCAGGGACTGGATTTTTAACTTTCAAAATTTGGTAGGTACACTAAACTGTCACTAACACCAAACTCAAAGAGACTTTTGGACTGTTCGGAAGATCCTTGATGACTACTAGGCTAGTCACTTGGCCTTGTGGGGCGCCGATGCCTCGTGCGTCGATTGGCAGTTACCCGACAATGACAATGACTGGCTGTATCATTTCGGGCCGATCACAAGAGTATCTACAAGGTCAATATATACTATTAAACTCGCCTCATCAAAAGCCCAACAGGGGTGGGCCAGTGTATTCCGCCAAACCTGCCCAGGTATGTGGGTGGTACCGAAGAATGGAGCGGTGTTGCCCTCATGGCAAAGGTATGGAGAGTGGAGATTTCCCGAGTCACCGCACAACAAGACCATCAATTCAGAGCCCATGTTTATGGCTATAAGAAGTCTCCTATTACCGTCCGAAAAACACGAACAGCATTGCACATCAACAGGGACCTGTCTCCGAGACACTTGCCGCATCACCCACTTTCTCCTTGTCCTCTCTAATTGCTATGTACTGGCAAACATGGCATGTTCTAGCGGCCATTGCAACAGTCGGGAGCTGTGCTTTGGCAAGCCCTTCCACTCCTTGGGTTGCGCAAGGCAATGCCAGCATTCGCTCTGCGCAGACGTTGGGAATAAGAGATATGGATACGTGTGAATTCGACCCGTCGGACCTTTCTCACATCACGACGCTGGCCGCCATAGGTGACTCCTACTCGGCTGGAATTGGAGCTGGAGACCGTCTTGGAAACATCGGTCAAGCATTCAGCACGGGTAGTGGTAAGTTACCACATCACCTTGATTGGTGGCCTTCCATGAACCATGCACTCACAAACTTCCCCAATGGATGATTAGATTGGGCTTGCAGCCACTATGATCAAGCGTATTCTGTCCTCGTTAATACTGATGAGCGTCTGGGCGATCCAGCAATACGGACGTTCCAATTTGAGTCCTGTTCCGGTGCAGTCATTGCCAACGTCCTCGACGACCAGATCCCAAAGCCTAGCGATGATCAGCAATTGATTTTACTATCAGCGGGTATGATCCATACCGCCCTGCCGAATGCTTTGTGCTCTTCTCTTTTCTTCGTCTTCCGTTGTGGACAGAACTAATGCGATAGGCAGTTATAGGTGGTAACGATGCTGAGCTTTCTAATGTTCTGAACCAGTGCATCTATCAATGGACAGCGCTCAACCCCCTCAAGGTTGCAGCAGCTAAGGCCAAGGCTCTTTACAATAAGCGGTATGGCTGGCTAGCAAAGAATGACTTTGATATATTAGCCAGCGGTTGTGACAAGCAGCTGGCTCGCACGAAACGTGTAATTAACGGAGAGGCCTTTGGCAGGCGCTTAGACTTCGTCATTGCGGCGGCGAAGAGAAAGCTAGGGTCAAAGTGAGTAACATCAGTCCTCTTCGAAATTTTCACGATTCTAACCGGATGCTAGTGGTATGATCTACTACACGGGGTAAGGCACCCATGGGTTCTACTATCCTTGCTAGAACGTTGAAAGTGTTATAGTTATGCTAAAATTTGGGCCGAAGACCTATCAACCGTATGTGATAGTGTTAGCTGGTCAACATGGAACCATGACGTGAGTATAGATTATTCAGTTTTCACTCCCAAGCCTGTCAAAGTACTAATTGCTCCTGTCAGGGATCGTCGGATTGGTTTCAGGATCCAGAGATGTTGACGAGCGCTCATCGCAAAAAGATGAACGACCTTGTCGATGAGGTCAATAGTCAAATTGTTAGTGTTGGCATCCATCACCTCCATGGTAAAGCTCTCGCTGATCGTCAACTTTCTCCAGTCGGCTGCAGTCGACAGGGCTGGCTCTCAAGTCAAATTTGTCAACTATGACTCTTACGTAGGTTATTTCAACGGTCGCTTTTGTGAAGCCGGCGTCGACGAGTCACCATCGGATAGCACGACAAGGTCATTGCTCCTGCCGCATCAGCAGCTAGACTTGTTGGACCCAGTGTACACTGACATCAATCATGTAGAGACGGTCTTATGTTCTACGAGCTCAGCAAGGGAGATCCCTTTGGCTCGAACCCTTACAAACGAAGCCAAGATTACCCGGAGAATGGCACTTTTGAGGGCTCTGTGAACCAGTACGCCGCGATAACACTTCTGTTGGACCCAGACGGCAAACTCTCCCAACAGACCTCGGTCTCGGACGACACTCTTGCTGCCACCCTCACGGAGTCGAAGCTGTCCCTCACTGCCGCGTCTGCGATCACCGATTACATCCCAAATATCCTACCAGACGGGTCAGATGAAAACCCCTTAGTCTCCGGCTTCGGACGATGAGAGTGTGTCGATTGCTAATAGCCGATGGATGCCGAACAAACAGATTACGGGCGCGTGTTCCATCCCCATGTTACGCTACATGAGCTCATTGCCAACTTAGTCATCTACGAGATGACGAACAAGAACCAAGTGGACCATGGATACCCTGAAATCCCAGAGCAGTTCACTTTGGACTCGTGCCCTTGGACCCCTGTCGATGTCGTCGATAACGACTCAGGTGAGAGTGCAGGTGGCCAGCAGATCGCCTTGGCATCGTACATCAACCCGCTCGCGGACCCCGCTGCTTGGACGCGGATGATCGACTACACATCTGACAAGGTGAGCGTTCTGGTAGCGAATGTCCTCAATGGACCGGACACCACGGTGAATGAGGACTGGGAGAAAGTCATCCTGCGGGCTAATGCCGCGGGCAAACGTGTTCTCGGCTACATGCGGACCGGGTATCTGGGAGTCAGCAATGATCACTTCCAGACCCGGCTGGGCTCAGCCGACCTTGCCGACTGGGTCTTACAGATCCAAACCGACATCGACCTGTGGTACACGCTGTACCCCGGCATGGTCGGCGGCATCTTCTTCGATGAGGGGTGGAATCAGTGCGGAGACAATAACAAGTACGCCGAGCTGTACCGATTCATCACTGATTATACGAAACGCATGCACCCCGGCGCGTTTACCGTTCTCAACCCTGGGGCCACAATGCCGCAGTGCTTTGAGCATAGGTCTGTATACCGTTTGGTCAGAGACATAAGATGGATAGCTAGACTGACCCTAGTTTACAGCGCGGATACACTCATGACTTTCGAAAATAGCTATGACACGTACGTGAACAACTACACGCCCAACCCCGATTGGACACCAAGCGACCCGCGCGAGCTCTGGCATATCATCTACAACGTCACGTCGGATGATGTGGCCAAGGTTGCGGCGCTGGCCCTCGAACGAGGGGCCGGATTGATCCACATCACTGATGACAACCTCCCGAATCCATACGATACTCTTCCGAACGATGACTACATGCAGATCATCATGAAGGCCCTTGACGGTGGCAAGCCTGCTGTTGCCGACCCCACCGCCTATGAAACGAACGGCGCGTCTGCATCTGCGCCCATCTCTTTGGCCGTCACCACCACGGACTACTCTTCTGTGAGCCTCAGCTGGGGCGCCAGCTCCCCGGCCCCGTACGCGTACTCGATCTACCAGAACGGCAAAGAGGTCGTCCGCCTCCCGGGCAGCATGACCAAGGTGACGATCGGCAACATCGACCACGGGATCTCCATCTCCTTCACGGTGCGGGCGATCGGGGCGGGCGGGAGCGTTTCCGCCGACTCGAACGAGGTGACGGCGACGACGCTGGAGATGCCCAACAACCAGCCGGTCACGAACGTCAAGGCCGGGGTGACCGCATCCAAGACCACGGTGAAGGCCGATATCCTCATTCCCTACGCCTTCCAGCGCGTCTTCCTGACCGACCCGGACACCGCCTGCGCGATGCCGGCGTGGCCCATCAACTACAACCTCGGCAACTACATCTGCACGCACTACATGGTCGAGAACGGGGCGCTGTTTAAGTACACCGGCGCCGCGCTGGCCGCGGGCGAGACCAACTACCCGTGGGCGTGGACTACCATCGACACCATCGCCGTCTCGCGTAGCGGCTACACGTGGACCTAGGAGCTCCCGATCGGCTCGGACGCCATCGACCCCAACTACTTCGTCGTCGACGCGCAGGGCTACGGCCCGCCCACCAATGTCTTTCCGCCCGTGCCCGAGCACCTGGGAGGACGCGACGCTCAGCGCCGGCGCGTACTGCACGGGCAAGGCGCCGTACGACTGCAAGGGCGAGCCCCTCTGCAGCACGCTGAACGTCAAGTGGTGCGACAAGGCGGTCAACCAGATGAACCGCGGCGTCACCGTCTACACCGCCAACCCGGAGGCGCTTGCCCTGTCCGGCAACTGCTGAGCCAGCTGGGAGCAGTTCGGCTGCTCTGTGCAGACCCGCGGCAAGGGCGAAACCGGCAAGGACTGTGAAGTTAAGTATTAGAAAGGTTAGAAGTTATTGACATTACGACTATTATACAGAAGATATACATAGAGACTGTTAACAGTCTGCTATATGTTCGAAGGTTACATGTAACAGACTACCCATGACAGCACTAATCTTTCCTATTCTAAATTAGACCAAATCCAGGATTTAAGTACAGATTATTCAAAGTTATTGATATTACAACTAGAATAAAATAAAGATACTCTTTTCCGGGTTGGAATCCACACATCTGCAGGTGTGATCCATGACATACCTCTTTACTGTACTAAAAAAAATCAACAGTCAACCACAGTAAATCTCTAATATGGTAACATACCAATAACATGGTGCCCGAAGAGCCACTTGTGATACTAGACAATACTATAAACTATCTTTTGACCACTCACTCCCCCCTTCTGTTGCACCGCAAGCCCCTCCAGAATATCATCCAACCCCCCAAACTCCCACAGAGGATTTGGTATGAGGGCTTTCGACTCCAACCAAGCCGGCAAATGCTTGAGATATTTCTTCCAGGTTGTCACATCCTGTGGTCTCTCACTATCGGTATCTTGGAAGTTGTTGTAGAGCTCGACATCCTTGGTGCGGAGATTCTCGCCAAAGACAGAATAGCACAGCGCCACATTCAAATTCACTCCGGGTGGCAGCCCGATCTCCTCCGCTGTGCGAGCCATAATACAAACAATATGTCCTCCAGCGGGCGAAAGCGTTCGCACAGCAGCCTTGGTGGTCTCGTACGTGCTGATGGTATCAAACACATGGCGCAACTTCTGATTTGCAGCACGCTGCACTTGTTCCACCCAATCAACATCCCGATAATCGATAACCACGTCCGCACCGTAGCCCCTCACAAGGTCATGGTTCCTCTTGGACGCGGTGGCAATCACGAAGAGGTTCGCCATCTTGGCGAGCTGCACCGCGAACAAGCCCACACTGGATGAGGCCCCATAGATGAAAATGGGGAAGGGTTCGTCAACAGGGTCGGTGGCATTGGGCAGCTCTAACCAGTTCAATGAGACTGTGGCGGTGGCCAGGGACAGGGAGATGGAGGCGGCTGCGGTGTCGCTCACTGAGTCGGGAACGGCGAATATGTAGTCGGGGTGCACCATGGCATACTGCGCAAAGGTCCCGCGTGGGGGATTCGTATCGCTCCCCATCACAAATCCGGCCACACGCTGGCCCTTTCGGAGCGAGGTTCCGTTCGGGTCGACCACCGTGCCGGCAAAGTCATCCCCGCAGACCACCCCCGGCTTGGCCAGTGCGATGCCATTAAGATCATTGCTCTGGGCCGTAGCATTGACTTTAATGAGAGCATGGCCCGGGAGCGGCTGGGGAACCGGGACCTGTTGAGACATTAACCGCTACTCCGTCGGGGACATGATAACGGATCCCGAATACGGCACCTGCCTTCTGGATTTCGGCTTTCCCTCCCTCGATGGTGACCAGGGCTCGCATACTGGTGCCGCTCATTGTGTTCGGGTATCGATAAGAATCTGCAGTCTTTCCTATTCCACCGTTCATGGTGCTTGTTCCATCTCTTTATACCTTTTGGTGGTCACAGCCGGTGGAGCTCGGACTTTGCCAAGAATACCGTTGATTGGGTGGCAGACGGGGGGGATCCATGATATCTCGGACTTTGCCAAGCTTCATGATCTGTCCCCGTTCCCATTCTTGCCCCTCCACCCTTGGATTACCTTAGCTACTGGCACGGCACTTACCAACTCACTCATAATCCGTTGACCCCCACCTCCTCTTTTTCTTAGCATCTCCCGTTCGATCTGCCACTATGGATCATCTCACTGGTCCGTTCACTTGTGGCTCCGTCAGTCTGCACCTTCCGGTGAACAGCACCGGAGACCAGCCAACTCTCAGTCCCTCGATGGAGCCCCCACAGTTGAGCATTTTATCGGTAGGTGTTTATCTGTCCATGTCTCTCATCCAGCCCATCACGCTTATCTCTGAACGCGTAGTGCATTGCGTGCAAAGAGCGCAAGGTAAAAGGCTTCCTCCTCTTCTCTTGGACAGTCGAAGGATCGTGGTTTGTCTGACTCTGATAGCTTCGCTGTAGCCGTGACCTTCCCCGGTGTAATCGATGCGACGCCCGTGGGGTGCAATGCGCGTACCCTCGGCGAAAGAAGCGGCGAACCGCCCGGATGTGAGCACCCCCCCCACAACCGCTTGCAGTAGCCCTGGAGGTTAGGTTTTACTTAGTGACACCGCCCCGGGCAGACGACAGGCGAATGACTCTGCCGCGGGAATTTCTGGTCTACTCGTAGTAGCAGCACCGGTACCGCGCGCAAAGCAAGGCGTTGGCGATCATCGCTCCGGGACTCCCGCGCGACTTCTGTCTGGAATCTCCTTCGGTCGTGGTGTGACCGAAAGGTCCTGCATAGCCGCAGTGGGTCCCCCGCAGATACTCGCAGACGCCATGGACGAGGTGAAGCTACTGAAGCAACAATACCACCTGAGAGCCGTGGTGACCGGGAGAGTCGAGATTCCCCGTCACTTAGCGAAACAATGGATCTACAGCAAGTCCTTTCTCTATTCTTCCCTTGGTGTGAGAGCCCCTTTCTGATCGTGGTTAATGTAGATTATTTTACCTCGGAGCCCACCGATATGTTCCAGAGCCTGATAAATAAGAAATTGATCAACGCCATGCCGAACATCATTGACTCGCCCAGAATTCGTTTGGAACCTGTCCTGTACGTTCTCTACTACGCAATCCTGTACATTGGATGTACATTCAGCGCCAACAATGGAACTGCCGAGCCAAACTTCGAATTGGCCGGCTCATGCTATCTCGCATGCTTACGGGTGCTCCCGGTGTGGCAACCACAGGCAGATGGCTCCGCTCTTGACTTCGTGGCAGCCTTGTTCATGGTCAGAACCTAATATGAGACCCGTCACGATGGCTGCTGACGGGACCGCTCCCAAACTATAGGTACGGATAGCTATGCTCTGCTGCGACCACGACCTCGCGTGGTTGATGCACCGCAATGCGTGTGCTTATGCCCAGAGATTCAACCTGCATAATCTCGACAGCGGCGATCAAACCGGACTTCAGCACGATGCGTCATGCGACGAAGGTCGCCGCGGGTTCTGGCAGATGATTCAAATTGACCTTCATGTCCGGCTGATTCTTGACAAGCCTGCCACCATCACGGCGGGTGCTTGGAATGTCAATCTCCCTTGGCTCAGCGCGAGGTCCAGGCCGCCGCCAGGCGATGTGAAAGCGACCGCGTTCCTCATTACCTCACAGATGGCGATGATCTTGTTGCAATTCTTCACCTTTTTCGACAACGCAGTGGCGGGGGGCCAAGAAGATCTCAGGCAGCGAACAAAGAGACTATGCCAGGAGATTCAACACATCTTCGCCAACTGGCAGGTGGTACGTGCGATCTGATGTATCTGGCGGGGTTTAGTTCTCCAAGGTCTCGCTGACGCTCGTTCAGGATGAATGGTTTGCGGCCCCATCGGACAGGAAAGTCGACAATTGCTATAAATCAGACGTGCTGCTGGCTGGGTATACATATATCATCTTTATGCTTCGAAAGGTTGAAGGCCTTGAACATGAGCCAACCGAGGTCTCCCAAGCCGGCTCCGTGTCCTTGATAGTTCGCGATGCATCGCGGCGTATCGTCGAACTACTAAACCATATGCTGAAATTATACCCGAACCCGCAGGGACTGCTTTGTGTCCTGGGATACTACAAACCCGAGCTCGCGGTCGGTCTTTTGTATTCCCAGGTCATAGATACTCCCGACACTCTGGAATCGAGGGCGGATGCAGAGAGGCTTCGAGAATTGGGTGGTTCTATCCGGGACATCATTACTCGCAGGCAGGATCTCACACCGCTAGCTAGAGCAATAGAGGCTCTGGATGGAGCATTGCCTAAAGAATCTCTGTCCAGTGAATAATACTTTTAAGGCACAACGTTTCACAACAGTTATTCATGGAACATCCACTCAGCAAATGACGATGTTAGTGTTCCTACGTAACCTAGCCATGTGACCCAAACCAGTTCATCAGACGTGTTCATCCATGAAGAAGATAGGTAGATCGATTGGTTGAGTGACGAGGTAACTTGTATGACTTTTGGAAGAAATGCTATATATCGACTGTTCCTGGAATGTTAAGGATTTTGGCCTTGAATGTCCCTTGCCGATATTCTCTCTATGAAAAAACAAATGTTTCATCAATGTGTACATATTTTACTGTAATTTTATCAAGGCGTGGTAGAGATGTAGAGGTTGTGGGACCTTGATTCTAGTCGAATTCCTTTGGCCCCAAGTTCTGTGGATACTTGACATATCGCTGATACCAACAGAATACGTGATTTTGGGACTCGCGGATGAAATAATATAAGACAACAATCCGGGCTAAATAGGTTTGGGTCAGCTTCTGGGTGGGTACCGTAGACAGCGACACCTTTTCATTCGAGTAGTCGGCGCTGCACGTACAAGCGAGGCGTAAGCAGGATTGAGCGACAATGTCTCGGTACCGCTGCAGGTAACAGCCGGCTCGTTCCTCCGCCTCTGCCTCCGAGTCTCTCTTTCAACACCAATTCGGCCGGTTTCGTTCCGTATGGTCGGGAGGCTAAAGAGCTCCGTCGGCCTGATAACGATTGCGACTTGTTGGCCACATTTGTAGAGAACTGTACATCAAGCATTGGTAAGGAATGGAGCGCTGCAACCGGGCGCTGACCCTGAAAATAATGGCCTACAATAAGACCCGTGTCCACACCGTTTACCCTTTACTCGCTTGTTCTGCTTATATAAATGCAGTCCATTCTTTTATCTTTTGTCCCTATCCTCTTGTGCTTCATTCCAAGGTGGCCTCTTTACGTTGATCTATGCTGGAAATCTAGCAATCCCCGCCTCGGCAGACAAGCAGGCTATTATAAGTACCTTCCGTAACGCGGGAGCAGTTCACTAAAGATTCTCTATGCTCCAGGTAATTGGAGCTCTTTAATGCCGAAATCGAGCCCTTTTTGTCCAGAATTATTAAGGAAAGTGTATAATCTGATCCCGAGATTACTGATCTCCTCGGCCACAATACCAAGTGCATGGATAATATCCCTACTACCAGCCGGTTCTTTTGCTACAAGATTCTCAACTAGCAACTGGCGGTGGTCTTTGCAAGGAGGCGTTCTTAGCAGACACTTGGACGTTGTAACATACTGGCCGGGGAACCTGGGTCAGTACTGCTCAGACTATTAAGATCAAGCCCGGAAAGAAGGCTTAGCGGCTTCATCGGAACTAAGAGCAACAGAGTATCCACAAGGGTTCTGGATTGAATGCCCTGAAGCAAGTATCAATTTTCTTTTTTATAGTAATCCGCTTTACAAATCTTAATAATTGTAACATGTATTCCCTTGGACAGTTATCCCTGGAATGATATATTGGCTAATAGTATAGATACCACAAATATCACGTTAAGTGAGAAGATTATCTATGGCAGTGGCCAAAAATTGCAAGAACAATAAGTATCGCCGGGGGCTCTTGCATTGAGCTTGCAAGCCAGCTATTTGACTCCAGAGAATGTGTAGTATTTATAGTCCCAATGCATGTGGCTTTGGACATGACAGAAAGGGCGCAAGGCAGCCTTCTCTCCTACGTCGAGTCTCCTATTCGGGGGCAATGCACCGGGGGAAAGCTACGAGACTGGTGCCTACTGGGTCAACACAGCCCAAATCATTGAAATTGGTCCAAATAACAATTACAGTTCCTTTACTACAACTATGACTAGTGGCCTATTTTCGCGCATGCCGGGCCTGGCGGTCCACTGGCTAATATTAATTTCATTTCTATTTACTATTCCGTCTGTCATCGGCACCACTATTGGGGCCTTGATCGGCTTCCGCATGGCCGTAGACCCGATCTGGGCCGCGGCCTATACTGACAGGGACTTGGTTAGCCTTATGAAAATGACCATGTACCCAGCTCTATTTGTCAAGTGAATGCTTGTGGTGCTGTCGCTGGGCGGAGGTATGTGGCCCACTCACTTTATTGCTCCTCCTTGTTTGTGCCTCTCCCACTGACTCGCAAACTGCATTCAGTTAGAACTCTATGGCTATTTACTCCACCGCCCTGAGCATCCAGCAGTTAGCTAGCCCTCTCCAGGCAATCCCACACTTTGTCTGGAGTCTGCTAGTTTCTATTATTTTTCCTAATCCTCGGTATTGCTGGGAAAGACCGACTATTAGTATTCTTAAACAGTATTCTTTTATAATAGACTATGATTTTACTATTTTTTGCTATAATTATCTTTAGTAAATACTGGTGCTTCTACAAAGGATCCTCTACTAATTACAGCCTTAAGGGCTGGAATTTCCCGGCTGTAATATCCGGGGAGCTTGCTGGTCTCCCAGTATTTCTGATTAGATAAATAGGTGTAATACTGGGCATGATACAGATCTATTATAACAGAGTTCTAATAGGGCTGATTGGCCGAGGAGAGAATATTATAATTTTTCTAGTAGTTAAGTTCATCCCGCTGCGAATTTTGGACCTAAGATATTTGGGTAGATAGATCGATTACACCTGTCCATGGTGATAATATAGTATGAAGATTACAATACACCCATTTCTTGGAGATTATTCATTGCATATCTAAAATGGCCTGGACAAAATCGTCCGTAAAATTACGCTCCCAGTCTAGCTCTGTCTTCAGTGGCTGCCATCCCAACTCCCGGGCCAGAGATGCCCGCGCCCGACAACTATTATTTAGATTAGATTATAATTCACGGCAGGGGGCCGGAAGCAAAGGAACCATACCTGGAAGCAAACCCAAGCTCCAACTCCTGTCTGGTAGCGGCAATGCCGAGGGAAAGCGCCTCTTCCACAGTGATGGCTCGTGGGTCCGGAGCTTCCAGCCAGCCTAGCGTAAAGCCCACGCGCGCCAATCCGGCGGCGAGCTCCGGCCAGCTTGACCTTCCAGCACTGGCGAAAAGAATTCTCCGCATCTTCCACAGTATTTCAGAATTATCCGCTAGCACACGGCACAGAAGCAGCTCGTAAAGCCTGGCAAGATCTTGAATATGGACATAGTCAATAGCGCCTGTACCAAGATAAACAGCCCGTCGAGCTCGGATGGCAGCTACTGATAGCATCGGAATATACGCTGCACCTCTCTTGTTGAACGGGCCCGTGCCGAATCCGTAAATTATCGGGGCCATGATGGTGTACGTCCGGACCCCAGTCTCTTGAGAGCGTTGGGCGAGGAGTAAATCAGTGGTCCGGGGCCCATAGACCTCGCAGTCCTGCCGACGCCACATGTACTTTACTAAATTATCCCATCTATCGTCGAACCAAGGAGTTTCAACATCACGCTGGGCCGTGGCCGCATCATGAAGATTTGCAGTGGTGGATGTCTATAGATCCAGCGGTTTGTGGTGAGTGAGCCGATAAAAGATGTCGGGACTCTGCGTCGTCACATACGTGGATCATGTACACTGCGCTCCCGGTAAGCGTGCGTCGAATCCCGAGGCCATCGATCAGGGCTTCCACGGAGTCGTGCCCAAAGTCAGCCGCGCAGTGGATGATGACTAGGATGTTGGAAGAGGGGAGGGAATGTTAGTCCATTGATGAAGAGAGGTCTTGCGTGGAGTGGATGTCTGCATACCATCATGCTGGGTGGCTATAGACGCCAGTAGCTCAAGATTATCCGGGCCAGTGAAAGAAATAGTTTTTACACCGTATTTTGCCCAAACCTCCGAGCGATACCTATCCTCAATCAGAACGGATATTTCCAACCGTCGGATTTTTGGGTCGACTGATCGCAAAAGCCCGACCAGTACGGAGCCGCCGAGATAGTCTGCTGGTCCAGTGAGCAGGAGCTTGGTTTTGATCTGTGGCATGCCGAGTATGACAGTTCCGCAACATTTACTCCCAGCCGTAACGTCTGAGCTCCTATCTTCTTGATTGAACAGTTATCATTTATGGACGCATGGACGAGGAGAAGAGAGAGCTCAGTCGTGCTCCGCAGCGGACGCGGGCATCCGCCGTGGCTTCGGTGCCGAGCGATCGAGCTTGTCCCGTGTCGGGCTTATCGCGTTGACAGAACTCCCATTTGCCGAATGGCTGGAAAGCTCTCGCTTGTCACTACGATCGCAGAAGATTGAGCTGGCGCCCGTTAATTTCCCCGTCGCAATGATTGGCCTAGCATGGTCACATCGGTGTCAACGATAAACCACTGGAAGGACACATCGGGTGCCAAAGATTTGGGACATCATTCACCTGGTGAGAGGATACGGCAGCCGATGTGACACCCGCAACGACAAATCTACTACCGTAAAGTAGACGACGCTCGGGTAACTTGGTCCTGCTTAATAGGTAAAGTGACATTTCCGCAATAACTATAGATCTTATAGATGGCATATGGCTCGTGGACTCGGATACATGACGTTGCTAGACTTAACTGAGATCTTTGAAACAACTCACTCCCAGTCGAGGGCCGCACATCCGACGGTGAAATTTACCCGCCAAGGACTCCATTCGTACCCGTATTGACCCGCGCGAAGATTTCCCTCCGGAAATCGATGGCCAAGTCCATGGACTGGGGGTCTCCGGCGGGCATTAGCTGCGACATGTATAATCCACATGTCGCGGAAGTTCGATCAATCCACTACCGACATGACCCAAGTCGCATTAGCAATGGAAATATGGGGTTCTTACTTGATCCCAAGATTCACTTGGAAACTCACCCAATAACAATTTGGCAGGCCCTGCCAGGAGAGCGTTCCCCGATGGCAGATACCCGGCACGTCTGCAGTGTGAAGGGTCCCTCCGTAACCATATTGCCAATCCTTACTCGGAACGCCGGCCCGGACCATGGGGCCTAGCTCGGGATCCTGCGTCACTGAGAGAAGCGCGCGTGCATCCTTCAGCTGAGGGGTGAACATCTGCTCCACTGTTGCTCGACCGAGAAGCTTCTCATCGTTGGCGAGCAATGAGACCAGCACTTTCAGGTAGTCCGCGGGGGTGCAGTAGAGTCCTCCCCCGCCAAGATCATCGCCGGGGTCCCGGTTGGGCCCGCGAAAATAGGGCTGCGTACTCACCAGTTCGCCCGTACCCGAGCGCGCCGTTGTATCAGCCAGCTGTTCGCGCAGTCGATCGTGCTCGAGGGGGCGAAAGGTGACCATTGTCATTCCGAGAGGCTCAAAGATGTGCTTTTGCATGTAGTCCCCCAGGCGGCAATCTCCATTTAGCCTCTCTACTAGCTTGCCCGCCCAATCCATGGAGACACTGTAGGCCCATCCTTCCCCCGGTTCGTAGACCAGTGGGGTGACGCACCGTTCGCGCTATGTGTTCAAAATTGTCATCACGGGCTGAACGGCTGGTCGCGCTTCGGGGGCGGCAGAAGAAGCGGGGGACTTACCACGGGCCATTCCCAGTCCAACATCTCCTCGCCGTGGATCTCCCTCCACCTTCGAAGGTTGGGATTCAAAAAATCATAGGTCATCCCACTCTGCTGAGTGAGTAGGTGGTGGACGGTGATGGGTGTGGTGGGCTTGCGCAGCAGGGGCTGGTTGTCTGACCCGAAGCCCGTCAAGATGTCAAGGGCGCCAACCTCGAGAAGGTGGCGGCTGACCTCCGTATCCAGGCCGATCTTCCCTTGCTCCACCATCTGCAAGGTGGCGATGGTGGTTAACAGCTTGGTGCATGAGGCTATCCACAAAGGGGTGTCCACGGTCATTGGTCGAGCGCGCTCAGGCTCGACGGAGGTCATACCCCGCGCCTCAGAATGTATGATATTGCCTACTCCGTTACCGCCATCACGCCGATGGTCCTGAGGGTGAGTGAAGAACGTCCAAGCATGAGGGGAGGGTGGATCCACTGTACCTGCGCTATCTGCGGCCATCACGACTGCGCCCGGGGTCACCTGATTTGGGCCTGGCGCCGTGGCCGACTGGAATCGCTGACTCCAATTCATTTTTAGACCGTGGAAGGGGGTCTTGTCGCAATGCCCAGATATGCTCCCTGGGTGATAGGAGATGGTGGAAACGCATGGGTGTCTTGCCGATGTTCTAGTTCTTTAATATCCGTCACTCTCTAGTGCTCAGTGCTAGATGTCCATGCTCCACTGCTGATGTCGTCCAAGCAGCGAGAACACCGACCCTCGGTCGCCGCCTTCAGGCTCCGTCGTGATATTGCCGACCCCGCTTGCGGGGCTGGGACCCACTAGCTTATCAATCATGGTCGAGGACAGGTGTCCCGTTCATTCCCAACAGGCAGGAGCAGACGAGGGGCAGCTTTATCGCCATGGACTGGCGAGCGGGGCCTCACCGGCGGAGGATCCGAGCGGGAGCAGAACCAAAGTGGAACTCGGCCGACGACAACTAGGGTTCACTACCCGACGCTAACCCCTCAGTCTCAAAACGCTTCACTCCCTGGCCGGGTTATATGAAGGCATCGGCGAGTCGTGCCTGTCATCTGGAAACTCGCATCAACTCAGCAGCCTGAGTACGCACCTGTTCGATTTGTTCTCAAAAGAGTGGACCACCACTGCCAGCATGCGTTTGGAATATCTCCCCGAATCCCCACGCAACTTGTCGGCGCAAGACGAGGCAATTTGCGAACGCATTCGGGCCCGTCGAGGTCCTGCTGGTTTACTCGGCATTGACCGTACACTTCTCCATGCACCCAAGATTGCCGATGGTAGGTGACGAGCTCGGACGGCAACGTCAATTGACTCGCTGACCCACGAAAACCTAGGATGGAGCTCCCTTCTCAGTGCTGTTCGCACGCAGAGCTCGTTGACCGAAGACATCAAGGAGATCTCCATTTGTCGCCCGTGCCGATTGAACACCACCTGGACCGAGTGGCAGCCCCACGAGACTCTCTTGCGCAAGGCACCAGGCATGACGGAGGAAGGAGTCGAGGTGGTCAAGCAGCGGCACCCCCACCACCAGGGCAGTCTTAGCGATCGCCAGTGGGCGGTACTGCAGTACGCCGATGCAATGACAGGCGCAGTTGATGTGCCCCTTGCTTTGGTCGATCGCCTCAAGGAGGTCGGCTTCAGTCCCCAGGAAATCGTCGAGATCACGGCCACCGTGGCAGCGTACAATTTCACCTGCCGATTCGTGCTAGCGCTCGATGTCAGCGAAGGCCTTGCTGCTGCACCGCCCTGGTTCCGTGAGTGATGCGAGGGCGATCGTCGCGGATGGTGTTGGGGTTATTCCAGTGAGTCCCGGTGTCGATTGGAACGAGGTGCATAGCCGCGCAGGCAGGACATCATGGCCAAAGCTATCTTGAACAATCCGACGAGCTCTATTGCGTTGATCATCAGTATTCTTTGCACCCGTGGTGCTACCCTGTCGTGTCCAAGCCGTGGCGTACACGCAGAGATCCCAAGTACAGACGTACAGGCGTCTGGCAGACATATCGTTCCTCAAGATCTGCGACCAGCATGAAGGGTGCCCTGACCCGCCAGATGCCTAAGGCACCCGGGCGGCTATGTATATACGTAGCGCGGAGCAAAAGCCCTGCAGGTCTTTTTTTACTCAGTTTGATCATCTTCTACTTATAGCTCTATCCTGATGTTATTTTATATTAAATTATGTTACCATATGATCTAAGATGCAAGAGATGGAATTTATATACAAAATCCCTGTGTTTAGTTTTAAATGGAAAGTCGCTTAGAAAGGCGTTGTGATAGAGTATGTAAGGGCCTTGCGAGCCCTTCCAACCTTTGCAATATCAATCCCGAAGGAATATATATAAAAGAAGGCCTAAGGCATCAGCTATATAACAACTAAGTAAGGTAGTTGCAGAACCACCCAAGGCAGCAGTAGTCCTATAAAATTAGATAAATTAGTAATAATATCTTAAAATATAATACTATTATTTTACCTATTATAATATGATATTTATTTGCTATACTATTTTACTCTTGAATTTTTATAATCTTATTATTTATACTCTATAAAATGGTCCTGTAAATAATAATAAAATATAAAATATAAAGTTTAATTAAACATAACTTTCTAAATATGATTATAGAAAACTATATATTAGCTGTAGAAAAAAGACTTTTATATTAAAAAAAAGTTCAGATTCCTATTTAAAAATTTTCCAAATATTTATATTTACTAGAATAAATTATAGAACTTAAAAATATTTTTAGAATCAGCTTTGTAAAAAAGTACTTATAAGCAGATCTAGAGTGGCTAACAGCCAGGTCAGGTCAGGTTAATTGGAATTTTTATACCTAACCGCCAGGTTATGGCTAGGTTAAGAAAATTTTTATATCTAACTACAGTATAGCTAAAAATCGGACGGTTAACTATTTTAACTATTTTTAATACTAAGATTTATCTATTATACCTTTTTAGCTTTAGTACAGTTAAGATATATTTAGATTAACAGATTATTAATCTAACTATTTTAACTGTTGTTTAAAAGTATACAAAAAAGGCTTTTTAAATTGAATAAAAATAACTAAGTAAAGTATTACTATCTTTTCTATCTTTATATTTATAAAATAATAAGGAATTCCTGGTGGTGCTGATAAATTGCAGCTTTTTATAAAATTATTACTTTTACAGTTGTTACGGGATGGATGGATTGTGCTAATCAAAACGTGCCTTAGAACAAGAAGAAATAGCTGAGAAGCTATTTCATCTGTTTGTATAAAATTCTTTTATATGTGCGCTAAGCTAGTGCTAGTTTAGTATTTAGTATATAAAATCTCAGATACTAACTAGTGCCTAAAGCTGAGCTTTATAATAAAATCTTAGTCTTATAATAAAAGCCCTTTTTTTTTCTTTTTAGTATTTTTTATAGCTTTTATTTATACAAACAGCTGTTTAGGGTTCAGAGTAATAGTTTTATACTTTAGCCTTTTTTAAATAATATTATAGCTGGTTAGTAGGTAGTATATATATAGGCAGGGCCTGTATTACTTATTATAGTATTTTTTTTTATATAAACCTTTTTTATCCAGTAAATACAGTAATCCTTTAGTAAATAAAATCTTTTTTTTCTATATATTCCCCTTTTTATCCAGTAAATATAGTAATCCTTTAGTAAATAAAATCTCTTTTTATACTATTTATACAACTGGTTCCGGGGGTGTGGTTAGGCTTAGCCTTTAGTATTATATAAAGTATACAAAGTACTATATAAAAAGGCCACCCCCCCCCTTTTTAGCTTTTTTTTTTAATATATCTTCTTCTCTTTCTTTTTATTACTAATCTGTTTTTTTTCTATCTGTATAATTCCTATTATTTTTTCTGTTTATTAATATTATACCTTTTTTTTTTAATACTAGGGCTGGTAAGCCTAAATATTTAGATAATATACTAATTTTTATTTACTATAATTCTTTTTAGATCTCTTCTGCTTTTACTAACTGTAATTTATTTTTTATATTTATATAATATATAACTATTTATAACCCCCGTACTAGTAATACAGAGTACTGGATTACTATATAACTAATAGTATATAAAAATAAAGTTTTATTCTAACTTTATTATACTTTAAACCAGTAATATATTTAGTATTTCTTTTACTATAAATTTATAATAAAGGTTGGTATTTTTACTATAGTTTAAATAAAAAAGTCTAATAGTATTTTTATATAAAATACTAATAGAGTTAGATATATACTAGGTATCTTTTTTATATCAACAGCCTTCTAATTATATCCTATGGTTTAGTAATACTATATTATTATAAGTATAATAATTAAATAAAGTTCTGGCAGACTGTATAGCTGTCTGAATAGTAAAGCAGAACCTATATAAACTATAAGTTTAAAGATTATAGTATATATTATAGCTACTATAATTTAGATAAGTCTAAATATAAGCCCGCAGCTATTACTGCTCTTTTTTAAAATATTATTAAAAAATTAATAGATTAAATTAGTATATAAGCTGAATTTGGTATGGTAGTATTTAATTTTTTTATTAGATTAAACACAGCTTCTTTTAATTAGTTTTAAAAAATTAAAAAAGGCTTTTTTTTTTTTTTTTTTTATATTTTCTTTTCTTTTTTTTTATATTAGGTTCGTACGAACCAAAGCTGAGGGGGAAGAGTATTAGTATAGTTTTTTTTTTATTTTAGTTTTTAATTAATTAATAGTTAGTTAGGGTTTGGCTGGGACTGCAGCTGCTATTATACAGCTGCTTTTATATTATTAAATACTAAAGCTGGTTTCCAGGTTGGTTTTATATAGTTTTTTTATTTAATAAAATACTATAATTAGCTCTTCCGGTCTTTTATTATATACTATTTATTAAAAATTTCTTTAACCTTATATTCTTTTTTACTGTTAATTATTATAGGCGGTGGTTGTAAGTTTTTTTTATTTTATAATAGTAATATATTGTCAGGAACTACTTGACGCAGTAGACACATTGATTAGGTAAGATAAAAGCAGTTAGAAGTAGTCTCCTATTAATTATAAAACTAATCCTTAGGGATCCCCAATCCCCTAAGGATTTTGAGTGCTTATATACATTTTGGAAAAAAGAAGTCAGCTTTATACTAATATAAAAACCCGGATTAGAAGCCTAATAAATTAGTAATAATAGCAGTATTAAAGTAAAAGACTGATAGCTGTATACTATAAATATTATATAATAATTTATACTCCTCCGCCAAGCCGGACTACCTAGTCCGGGGTATAGATAAGAATAGCTTTAATATATAGCTAAAAAAAGCAATTTAAATATTTAATAATACTTTAACAGGCTATACAGCTAGTATTGCTATAATAGCAGGGCTATTAATATAATATTATATTACTTTATATTATATTAGATATAGTAAATAAAGGATGTATATTATCAACAACCCAATTAGGGTTTAATATATATTATATTTATAAATAGTATTTAAATTATAATTAAACCTATAACCAGATAAGTATTAATGTTTTTTTAATAGTTATATTAAGCTAATTAGGATTAGATATTAGTTAGTATACTTAAAAATACTGCCGAACTTTTAATAATCTTAGATTAGTATAAGAAGTTTTTTATTATTACCAGTAATAATAATTTTAACTAGTTTTTTAAACTTTATCTTTCTGTTTATAAGTTGATTCTAGTGCTTACAGTTGGTTTTAAGACTGCTAAGCTGGCCTATTACTATAAATATAAATTAACTAAGTCTTCTAAGGCTAAGATTTAGATATATTTTTTTATAGATTTCTAATTAAAGTATAAGCTAATTTTCCAGCTGTATTTCCCCTTCTATTACAAGTTTATTACAGGTTATTATACTATTACTAAAAATCTGACTATACTTTATTTTTTTTTTAGTAATAATAGCTATATTTTATAGACTAGTACTAAGTAGGCTTTTTTTACTGGAATCTGCCATAAGGTTAAGGCTATATACAGTAATATAAAATCTTTTTAAAATTACTGTATTTAAAAGGTTAAAAATACTTGGTCTTTTTCTGCTTATATTTTTTAATAGAAACAACCTTGCTCTGGTTTTGTTTAGTAAGTTTTTAATAAAAGTCCGGCTTATTTGCAGAGGTGTTTTATTTAATTAAATATATTAATATAATCTTTTAACTATATTTAATATAGTAATTTAATAGTAGTTTGGTTGCTTTTTTTATATTTAGAAATAAGAATTTATTTACTGCCCCAACTTCTTCTTTTACTTTCTATAATTTTATATTACTTACTGGGTATTTTCTATAAATTCTTCCAGTACTTATTTATTATATTTACTCAGCCAGTCCTTTTATTTAACTAGAAAATATTATTTGCTTTTAAAGATTTATTTATTTTTAATATTCTTAACTTTAAACTCCTCTTTTTTTTCCAGTTCTGGGGGGTAGAGTTTATTTATTAATTCTATATTAGATTCCTATTATTCTAATAATAATATATGGAAGATGTTGTAGATTTAACTATAATAATTAAATAAAGAAATTTAATATATTTAGATTTTAATAACTGCTAGAACCTTTAAGGGCCTGATATACTAAAGGGCTAACTTTTTAAACAGGGTCTTAATCTTTAGATTTCTAGTAAACAGCTTTACTAAATCACTCTTTTTAAAGGTTATTGGTTAATAATTTTTATTATAGTATTTTACTTAGATCTTATTAACTTTTTGCTAGTAATTCTATAACTTTTTTTATAATACAGCTAATTTATTAATTTGGTTTTTA